AAACAGAACACATCTCTAGCTTCTTGACACATATAAACTCACAAGTTGAGGGAATAAAATTCACATTTGAATCAGAAAATGAACAAGGAGAATTAGCTATGTTAGATTGTAAGATAAAAAGAATAGAAGAAGGCAAACTACACACTAGTGTTTATAGAAAACCAACGCATTCTAATAGATATTTAGACTTTAATTCGTCTCATCCTTTAACTGTTAAGGCAGGCTTAGTTAAATGTTTAACAAACCGAGCAGTGGCACTAAGTAGCACAAAAAAAGATCTAAATGATGAATTAAAACAGATAGAAGAAGCGTTGGTGTTGAATAACTATCCTATAAAATTCATTAGGAAGATCATTAAAGGCCAAAAACAAAATAAAAATAATTGTGAAACTAGTAATAATAACATAAATAAGAAAGAATATAAGTCATCCACAGTTATACCATATAAAGAGGGGACATCTGAGACACTACGTAGGATTCTGAATAAAATAGGAATTAGGGTGGCATTTAAACCTACAAACTCACTCAGGGACAAGCTCTGTAGGTTAAAGGACCCAGTTGACCCAATTAGACAAAATAATATTATTTACAAAATACCATGCAATGACTGTGAGGTCAACTACATAGGTCAAACTAGTAGGTCAGGGGTAGTCAGATTGTCAGAGCATAAAAATTTAGCTAAGGTAAGAATGGTTGACCCCGAGAAGATAAATAATTTAGAAAAAAGCTCAGCAATCGCAATGCATGCGCTAACACACAACCACACAATAGGGTGGGAGAGGGTTAAAATTCTAAAAAGTAATCTAGGTAGGTGGAGAGAGAGGTTGATTACTGAATCCTTGTTCATCGAGTCTACACCCAACACATGCAATAGGAATGACTCGTCACTCATACCTGAAATATGGAAAATACTATTACCAATCAAATCAAGTGAAAATCAAGAGAAAAACAATGGAACTATATAAATGAATTTAGGAAGTCGTGTGATTACCTTGATATGATTATGAGCAATAAATTGTGCTCGAAACGTCATCAGTAAACATTACTGTAAACACTGTGCGATTTATCAAAATAAAATCTTATCTATAATGGAATTATACTCTACCACAGTGCCCAAGTTTTATACTTATATCAATTACGTAATCAGTTCATTTGTTTTACTAGCCTTTATCGACTACTTCCTCCTGAACATTTGTTTGTTTAATCATACTGTTTTTCATTATTCGTGTTATCACATATTGTCTCACTTTTTTATCCTTATTATTGATAAGGTCATTATTATCATTATTATTATCATTACTACCATTTTGACTAATTGCACAATTTATATTCACCATCTTATTCTCCTATAGACAAAACACGATGATTGGTACATATTTGAATTTTAACTCTAAACTTATATATATGAATGAATTGAATTTTTGATTTTCCCGTCGATTGATTGTACCGAAGTGCTCGGTCTCAGGTTGACATGTTGGCTTCTTGTGCAGATGCTTCGACGATGTCTGGGCATTTAGTTAGTATTTAATTGGTGAATGGTGACTAGCAGTAAAATCCAGGATGCGCATTTCGCCCTATTTGGGACTCGTCAGCTGGATGTACCTGCATTTTTCAGTGAGTGATGATGTTACCACCGGTGGATCTCGTGGCCCAAGTGGTCTAGTGGATAACGCATTGGCGTTTGGAACTATGGGCACTGGGTTCGAGCCTCGGTGGGAACATCATCACTCACTGAGAAAGGCAGGTACATCCAGATGACGAGTCCCAAATAGGACGAACTGCGCATCCTGGATTCCACTGCTAGTCACCACCCACCAATTATATATATTAGAGTTAAGCCTGATGACATCTAATTGAAAACACAATATTGTTCGCTTAAATGTGTTCTTCTAAATTTTACAATGGGAATATTTAATATATCAAAGAGAAAAAGCTACAAAAACTACAGCTATAGTGGGAAAAAGAATTCTTTAGTCGATAAAATTGGCAGTGTGTACTAATGTATTTCTATGACTCAGAAATAGTAAAACTCCTGAAACCCTAAAGTCAAAATGGAAAGAAGGTTGATCAAACAGACACTTCCAGATTTTTCTAAGCCAGATTGCAATAATTATTTAGATGTTCACTGAGTAAGCCCTTCAGCCGACCTCAGAAAACGAATCGCAAGAAACAGTTAGAAAGCTGTTGACAACTATGCTTTTAAGCAAACGTACTTGGAAAACTTGTGCAACTCAGTAACAACATCCTCAGGTACATCACTACCACAAGTATTTGCCTGAATTGAAATATAATCTCTCACTTTTTATAAAGATAATTACTTTTGGTAAACTTCACAAATAAATAATTAAACATGCCTAAAATTCTGACATATTTTCGATGAGTATAACAAAGTTCACTTGTTCCGTATTACTCTTTCGCATCAGCAAAGATGTAGTGTTATGCATGACCAATAAGCGACTTGTTGTATGGTGACTAGCAGTGGAGTTCAGAATGCGCATTTCTCCCTATTTGGGACTCGTCAGCAAGAATTAGCTTTATTTCCAGTGAGTGACAGTGTTTACAATGAGACCCGAACACAATACCCATCGTCTCAAAAGCCAAAGCGTTGTTCAATAGACGACTTGGAACATAAGAATCATCTCTTGTACAACGGGTATCAGTAGTTGTTTGTTTTTATTTGCATTTTGATTTTGGCGTTGATTTGATGGATCAAAATACTCGGCCTCTACTAACATATCGTCTCTTAGCACGGACGCTTCGTCGACATTTGAGGATTAACGTGAAGTAGTTACTTAAAATAGTCATGATAAAAAAAATTTCTTAACATTAAAACATTCACTCAGATCATATGTGAGGAGAGGATTTGCTATCAGCTTACACTTTTAAACAAACCGTACTGAATAGATGACCTATGTAAATGAACCATTTAGAGATCAGTTTTGTCCAATAAAATACAAATAAACTTTGGTTAAAATGCATACTAGAGAGGATGCACATGATTGGTAGTAACAGTAAAATGCTGAGTCATACTCTTGTTGATATACTTCGCATATTTTTTCACACTAGTATGGCATCAGTTGAATTCAAAGCCTATAGTGTACGGTGTTCGTGAGAAAAAGATTACCTAAACAGGGGGGAAATAACCAATGTGATGTTAAGATATGTAGTACATTCTGTCGTTCGTAAAATAATCTATTCATCATTTATCAAAACAGCCAAAATCAGCTCAGCATAGCACAACTGAATAAGGTACACGCCGTATGGGATACCGCTTTGCATTCCAATGTGGATGTGTATATATGCATGCTTTATGTACTATCTACAAAGACGCACTAGATGCAGAATTCCAACCGAAAAAGCTGGATTTAAGGAAAGTAAAACGCGTGTTGAACAGATTGCAATGCTACACATCATTATCAAATAGAGTATAAAATGAAAATTAAATTTCGACCTCAGTTAAATTGACTTTAAGATGGCCTTCGACATCGTTGACAGCTAAGTAATTTCGAAACTGCTGAAATACTACAGAATACTTCAGATCTTTTCTAACAGCATTCACGGCTATACGATAATGCCACATGCCCAGCGATCCACAACGAGAAATTTAGCAAAGCGTTTGAAGTAAAGACAAGAGTTTCTAATATCAAGGATTTTATTCCTAACCGGGGTGAACTTAATTTTGCGGAATACTGTAGGTGGGAGCCGGAATATAGCAGGACATCAGGTCAATAAGAAGACTCTGGAAGATGCGGACTTCCCGGATAACTTATGTCTAATATCACTTAACAGGAATGACTTAAGAGAGAAAACCAACAAGTTGGTAGAAAACGCAGGTATACTTCAAGTGAACACAGCGAAGTCGGAGGTGGTGAAGATAACCAACAAACAACAAGAAGCACCAATCGCTATTCACAGAGTAGATTTGAAAGGGCATCGTTTCAACTATAGGCGACATCATAGATGAGCGTTGCAAGAACAGAACTGAAAAGGAAAGGAAATCATCTTGGAAGTCTCCTGAACTCAGAATAAAGAACAGAATCCTGAGTTTCAAGACAAATGTTAAGTCAGCCAGTTACTTTTTATGCATCACAAAGTTAGTGCGCGAGTCACTGAAGGCATTTCCAAGAAACCACTTCAGATTCCTATCAGCCAGAAAGAATTAGTACCACGAAACTCTGTGAACGTACCAATCAAGAACCTATTAGTGACGTAACAAATAATTCCGAAGAAAATGGAGATTAATCGGACATAAGCTTAGGAGATTTTTGAGTGACATAGCTTGCCAGGCATATCCTCTGCTGCCATCCAAGCGGGAAATGATGAACAGAGCGTCCTAAGTTTACATGGAGGGATTTGCGTTAGGAGGAGATGAGAGCTTATGAGCGATCGTGCAACCAGCCGAAGGGGACTGTACAGAACAAGGTTAAATGAAGACGTTCTTCTGAAGCCATATGTTCCACTTGGAACCCTAGGGAATTATATATGTATATATGGGGAAAGAAAGAGAAGTGGTAGCACCTTGCATCTGAGTGTAAGGGAACATTCACCTTCATGTTTGTAAGAGCGATTCACCTCTTAAAACTCCTTAAAAGCAAGTTGTAGATTATTAACCTCGCTTGTGAAAAAATATATAAGATTAGTGTCAAATTATATCTCAACATAATATACAAAACAGACACAGACACAGCGGTAGAGTGCTCGCGAACCAAGGAGGTGGTCCGGGGTTTGATCCCCTGCCACAGACGCACTCCTTCACCTCACTAAGCCAATAATAAGACTGTTAAGAAGACAAGGTTGACCATGAAGCTGTTAAAAATAATCACCACTTCTACAGAAACTTCAAGCCTTTAGCTTGAAACCCTAAGTTCCACTGGTAATGTAGAGGAATAAAAATATTAAAAAAAAATACAAAACAAACGGGATTGGACAGATGTCAACTTTTATTTCTTTCAAAAAATTAGACCCAGACAATTAAATCAATAAATCAATAATTGACTTACTTTAAGCACTTTATAATGATTATAAGTTGCTATATTATCATATAAAGTAACAGTATGATTTTTTCTACCACTCCTATATTGTACTGTTACTTGTAAACATGGAAATTTTGATCGATCTTTTGAACATTTATTTTCACATTTTACATCATTTTTTGTAATATGTGCATGTACAAAACTACAATTTGTATGTGTAAAAGCTGATTCATGTAAATATGGTTGTACAACTAAATGGATTAATATACATTCAACTATAAATGTTGTCGTGATAACTGTTGCACAAGTTAAGTAGATTATTTTTAAACTATTTATCTGATACGATTCTGGTAGTGAAAGGCATATTTGCCTACTAGTCATATTATGATATAACTTTAATTGTATACAATCGTTTTAAGAAAGCAATTAATATCTTGTAGTTACATTTTTTTACGCTGAACATGTTATGCTTAAATGTAATTTTTGAAAGTCACAATGATAATTAACCTTATATATATATATATATATATATATATATATATATATATATATATATATATATATATATATAAGTAAGGAGTAGGTTATATTCTACCAATCAGAAAACTTACTCATAATGTCAGATTGTGATTGGCTGCTTTGTGAAGTTTAGATTACCTCATATTTTGTTAGATTTTCGTCGCAAAGCAACATAAGCTAAAGAGATCACTGAAAATCAGGGAGTACTGGACAGCTGCTGCTTTTCTATTCTGAAAATCTTCAGCAGTGATGACCTACGACCCTTGCTCCATAAAAGCAAGTGAAGGGATAGATGTATATAAAGCCGACCGGACGAAGGAGTTTATCTTTTACGGAAACGGGGAACAACTTATGACTGGTGAAGGTCATTTGGAGTTTAGTTGTTAACAACGTCTTACTGGGTGATTTAGAAAGACGATATTTGAGAGTATCTGAAGCTAGATAACCCTTGAATTCGAAATTCATGATGGTAGTTTTCTTTGTAACTGAGTCAGTGATCAGTTTAGATTTCTTATCTTTCTTGTTTCTGTCAATAAGTCGGTTCAGGTAACTGTTTTCTGTGAAAGTGGCTAATAGGAAGACAAGTTATTAGTCAACGCAGTCAGAATTACAAATGTTTCTTATCCTAAGGCAGAGTTAATGAACTAAGTTCTTTACCCGGAGATAGGCATTCACCTATTAAAGGTTGGTTGGCTGTCGATTCCATATGCTATGCCACTGGATGAACCTTTTGATTTGTCATCATCTACAGAAACACCATTTGGAACGCTCAACAGATTTCTACAGTTGGATACCTATTGAGCGAAAACGAACTGTGATTAAATCCCTTACCCATCAGATCCGACGCATCTGCAGTCCTGATACCTTGGAGGTAGAACTGGATTTTCTGAAAGTAAACTTCGTCCAAAATGGATATCTCTCAGGACGCATCGATAGAAATATCAAACCAAAGGTCGAGAAGGAGATGAAACATCACTCGTTTCCCAAAAGGAACTATACATGAATCTGGATTTCTAGGGAGACTCATACTGAGATATCCTCAAGAATAGAATTTCAACACCTTTGGAAAGAAATTTCTTTCCAGAAACGCTAAGAGATGCCTTCTCCAGTCGACCATTGATCTGCGGAAGCCTTAAGGACAAGACCTCGCATCTGACCACTTCTATGTGCATATATCAGCTCACCTATTCTGTGATGCCAGTTACATTGGTCGTTTGATGCGTATCCTGTCCAAAAGCATTCAAGAACACGATCCTGCATGGCTGTATAAGGAGTGTAAAAAATGAACATCTCTTCAACACTGATCAATATATCTTAACAAAAGCCTCCATCAGAGTAATCTACAAAATGAGGGAAAACCGACGCTTTCGTCTCCTTTGTGTTTCTGAGACCTTAAACATTCATCCAAACAACTGTAATACCATGATAACAACCATGTTAACTTCTACTGATTTGACACTTGTCTGTTCGTTTGCTTTTTTTTCCTTCCTAATTTTTAAAACCCCCACACTTATTAGTATAAACTACCTGCTCGGGCGTGAGATTAGCGACCCCTCTGTAAACAAAATTGCTACAAAAACTTCGGTATGATGAGTGTCCTTGCAACGGAAGAAATGTCTGTGTGGGAACATGGAACGTTCGCACCATGTACGAGGTTGGCAAAGCTGTCCAAATTGCGAACGGGATGAAAAGATATAGAATTCAAGTACTGGGAATATGTGAAAGCAGGTGGGATGGGAATGGACTCACAAAATTGTCAAGTGGAGAGTCAGTGATTTACTCCGCTCACCCAGAAGATAACCGCATGCACACTGAGGGCGTGGCTATCATGATGTCACCAACGGCAACGAAGGCCCTGATGCAATGGGAGGCGATCTCGCCCAGGATAATGACACACCGCCAGATTCAACTCCAAAGAAAGGACAGTGTCAGTTATTCAATGCTGTGCACCCACAAACAAGGCAGACCTCGAAAAGAAGGAAGAATTCCACAGATAACTATAGACAACAACGGATACTACTCCAGTGTCCAGGCAAAGGAGACGTCGCAAAACCCTATAAAACAACCAGGTCCCTATCGAAGAAAAGTTCAATACATGTTAGGTCAGTGAAGGATGACAAGGGGAAGTCAATCACTGAAGAGGTGGAGAGAAAGATACACTGAGTTAAACACTTCAAAAGACTTCTAAATCGACCGCTACAACGTGCCAAACAATACTAGAATGGAAGCAGAACTACTTGTGGACATCAACCCTTCAACGAGAACAGAAGTCCTGAAGGTAAACAAGATGCTAAAAGCTAGAAAAGCAGCAGGACCAGACGGAATACCAGCAGAAGCATAAGCGAACTTGATGGCACCATTACTGCAAAAGGTGTGGAAAGAGCGCAGGGTACCTGCGGATTGGAAGGAACTACCAGAGAAACGGGACCTAAGTCAATGCAAGAACTGGCGCGGAATTATGCACCTGTCCATCTCAAGCAAAATACTAGGCCTCATCATCCATGTCGACCAGAACAGGCTGGATTCGGGAGAAACAAATCATGCATCGATCAAATAGCAACACTACGGATCATCATTTCTCTATCTTCATTGACTTCGTAAAGGTCTTAGACAGCGTCGATCGAGAACTGATTTGGAAAATACTTCGCTACTATGGGATGCCGCCAACAATTATACACCTCATCCAACATTTGTACGACAATTCTGCATAACCAGTAATGCACAACGGGAAACTCACGGAATCCTTCGAAGTGAAGACTGGAGTAAGACAAGCTGGCTAGTTGCCCACTATCTCCAATGATTTTCTGATTGCGGTAGATTGGATAATATGACAGAGAGCGGTAGGCAGTGAGGAGACAGGCATAAAATGGACGCACACAAAACTTTGAGGATCTTGACATCATCGATGATATATATTTTGAAAAAGACATGCAAGTGAGAAGCAACAAGTGGGCAGTAGAAACATCAAAGATGAGATTTCCTTCAGGTGAACAGAGAGTAAACATAGGTGATGAAGATTCTTAGCCAACAGCAACAACAAAAACTAACGTAAATGGGAGGAGCGTAAAACAAGCAACCTCCTTCACCACTTAACTGAGAAGCATCGTTTCAACTACAGGCGGACGGGACTGATGAGAATATCAAAGCGAGAATCTGAAAAGCAAGGCAAGCTTTTATTACTCTGAAGTCTGCGTGGAGGTCAACAGCACTCAGTAGGAAAAATAAGATCGTGATTTTCAACTCCAATGTGAAGTCAGAGCCACAAACTATACGGATCAGAGACTTGGCGCGTCAAGAAGGCCACTTCAAACAAACTACAGACCTTCGTCGACAGCTGTCTTCGCTCAGTACTTCACTTAGGATCAGATGGTCAGAAAAGATCAGCAATAGGGAGGTGTCTCTGAGAGCGAACCGACCCAGGAGCATGCATTTGGGCAACAGATATGCAGAAAGAGGGGGGGTTGATAGGCGTTACTCTGAGAAAACAAACCATCAAGTGATATCACACACCAGGCCATCTCTCGAGTGGAACCCGAACGGGAAGCATCGAGTTGGTCGTCAGTGCGAGACTGAAGAGGAGATGAAAGCATAAAGGCAGACGTGGAGCTAGGTGGTGGAAACGTTGGGGTAGAACCGAATGCAATGGAGATGTGCGGCTGAAGCCCTAAAGGAGACAATAATAATACGTAATTCCGTAATTTCCTTTTTCTCTATGTATATCCTAATCACATCTGACTCACAAAACTGCTCATTTTATGCCGTAACTGTAATTCGCCCATTCAACTTGTTTGTATTAATAACTAAGTTTTATGACAACACATCACCACTTCCCTTTTATGAATTCTACCCCTCTCCCACCCCGTAGTCAGAATTTGATTATTCATCACAATTTTGAATTGTCATGACAAAAATAACCCCAAATTATTTTTATTCTCACCAGACAAACCCAGTGTGTACACATCTATACAAAAAGGTATATATAATTGCGACTGTACAGCTAAATGAATGAATTCGCCAAAAACAGACTCTTCGCTGAACTACGCTTTCTGTTTTCATTCATGTCTCAATGGGATTATTTATGAATGTGAACAGTTATTCGCTCCTCAATTTCAGTCAGTACCTATGAATATAAGATAACTGACAGAATTTTAGTCATTTAAATATAAATAAAACGACTGATGTTCTTTGGATAAGCCAATGAAGTTATTCAACTAGAATAAGGCTTTAAATGTAAGCGATTTGCGAAATGCGACCCTAACTACTCATAAAGGACAGAAAGTTCCCAATATGAAGTTACAACATAACGGCTTTCTTTCCGGCAAATAATTTTCAAAAGCTATACAGTAGGATGTAAATTCAACAAAGCATTCATAATCCTAGTTGGGCATATTGTGGGGAACAATCCTGAGAAGAATGTCAAAAAGGAGTATATAAATAATATAGGTTTGTATAACTCGATTGGTGAAAATTGACCTCATCAAAGTGAATATACAAATTGAACAGAAGAGAATAGATATACGGTAAAATCTTTCAGTATAACTTGTATAAGTAATGCAGTGTTATTCGTATACAATGACAACGATAGTGAAATATTGATCAAGAGTTACTAGATAGCTGTTTTGTCCTAGTTTGGGTCTCTTCAACAGTACCCTTCGCTAGAGTTTGAATCCAAGACATCTCAGCTACAAGGGAATTCCATGCACCATTGAACTGCTTGGATGTGGTGTTAGTTGTGTACACACACTTCCCTCTTTGCCAGGATTGTTAACAGACAGTTGGGTTAAGGATCGTATCAGCCAGAAATCGAACTGGTGCCTTAGATGTGATTTTATCTGATCTTAAGCTTAACATAATCATGATAACCATATTATCATTACCATTACTATTAGTATACAATTGGTGGATGGTGGCTAGCAGTGGAATCCAGGATGCGCATTTCGTCCTATTTGGGACTCGTCAGCTGGATGTACCTGCATTTCTCAGTGAGT